CCCCCCCCAAGGGGGACCGGTGTGTGAGCCGACCGGGGAGCGCACCCCCCCCCCCAACCCCCCCCCAAGGGGCCCCCCCCCCGCCCCCCCCAAAGGCGACCCGTGTGTGAGGCGAGCCGTGAGCGCACCCCCCCCCCCCCAACCCGAGTGTTTTGTGCGACCACAAGTGAAAGAATTCGCGTGCGCGGATAGTACCGCAGTTCACAAGGATATCGAATCCTAATAGACCTAATCACGAATGGATGCCAAAAGCCAGTTGACGGTTTCGTGGACGGACGCGCCGTGGAAAAAGCCCGATGTACACGGACGACGGCAAGTACATCGTCCAGCTCATACCCAAGGGGGGCGCCGCTGCCGCTGCGGGCGGCGCCGGAGGATGCGGCACCACCAGCTGCTCGGGAGCCGCGTCGGATGCAGGTAGTGGAACAGAGGAGTATCTTGCTGCAATGACCGCCGCAGGTGCCTCTGGTGGCGTCGCAGGGGCAGCCGGGGCACAGATGTCTCGCGGGGTTGGAGGCGCTGCCGGCGCAGGAGGGGTGAGATCAAGGAGCGCCGGCGCCTCAGTGTCAGGCCGCAGCAAGCTGCCGATGGCTCTCGGTGCTCTCGGCGTGGTTGGACTTTGCGCCGGCGCCTATGCGTACGCTCAGCCCAAGGCATCACCAACGGCCACTTCCCGCGACCTGCTCTTTAGTCAAGAAGAGACGAAAGAGGCGAAAGGGGAGAAGTCTTTCCTCGGTGGGGTGTGGCAGCACCTCGGTGGGTGGCCACTTCCACCCAACCCAATCACTTTCAGCGGGGGAGGCGCAAAAGGGGGGCTGAGCAGAGGTATTGGCACGCCGAAGATCGACCTGCCGAGCATTGGCAGAGGTATTGACATGCCGAAGATCGACTTGCCAAGCGTTGGTATCCCAGAGGGCAGCATCAAGCTTCCCGACGGGAGCTTTGAGCTCCCCGACGGCAGCATCAAGTTTCCGGACGTGAAGCTGCCATCGGGCATCGACCTGCCCAGTCTCGGGCTGCCAAAAGGCAGCATCAAGCTTCCCGACGGGAGCTTCTCGCTGCCCGACGGCAGTGTCAAGTTTCCGGACGTCAAGCTGCCGAAGGGCATCGACCTGCCCAGTCTCGGGCTGCCGAAGGGCAGCATCAAGCTTCCTGACGGGAGCTTCTCGCTGCCCGACGGCAGCATCAAGTTTCCGGACGTCAAGCTGCCGAAGGGCATCGACCTGCCCAGTCTGGGGCTACCGAAGGGCAGCATCAAGCTTCCCGACGGGAGCTTCTCGCTGCCCGACGGCAGCGTCAAGTTTCCGGACGTCAAGCTGCCGAAGGGCATCGACCTGCCCAGTCTGGGGCTACCGAAGGGCAGCATCAAGCTTCCCGACGGGAGCTTCTCGCTCCCCGACGGCAGCGTCAAGTTTCCGGACGTCAAGCTGCCGAAGGGCATCGACCTGCCCGACCTCGGGCTGCCAAAAGGCAGCATCAAGCTTCCCGACGGGAGCTTCTCGCTCCCCGACGGCAGCGTCAAGTTTCCGGACGTCAAGCTGCCGAAGGGCATCGACCTGCCCAGTCTGGGGCTACCGAAGGGCAGCATCAAGCTTCCCGACGGGAGCTTCTCGCTCCCCGACGGCAGCATCAAGTTTCCGGACGTCAAGCTGCCGAAGGGCATCGACCTGCCCGACCTCGGGCTGCCAAAAGGCAGCATCAAGCTTCCCGACGGGAGCTTCTCGCTGCCCGACGGCAGCGTCAAGTTTCCGGACGTCAAGCTGCCGAAGGGCATCGACCTGCCCAGTCTCGGGCTGCCGAAGGGCAGCATCAAGCTTCCCGACGGGAGCTTCTCGCTGCCCGACGGCAGCGTCAAGTTTCCGGACGTCAAGCTGCCGAAGGGCATCGACCTGCCCGACCTCGGGCTACCGAAGGGCAGCATCAAGCTTCCCGACGGGAGCTTCTCGCTCCCCGACGGCAGCGTCAAGTTTCCGGACGTCAAGCTGCCGGAGGGCATTGACCTGCCCAGTCTGGGGCTACCGAAGGGCAGCATCAAGCTTCCCGACGGGAGCTTCTCGCTGCCCGACGGCAGCGTCAAGTTTCCGGACGTCAAGCTGCCGAAGGGCATCGACCTGCCCAGTCTCGGGCTGCCGAAGGGCAGCATCAAGCTTCCCGACGGGAGCTTCTCGCTCCCCGACGGCAGCGTCAAGTTTCCGGACGTCAAGCTGCCGGAGGGCATTGACCTGCCCAGTCTGGGGCTACCGAAGGGCAGCATCAAGCTTCCCGACGGGAGCTTCTCGCTCCCCGACGGCAGCGTCAAGTTTCCGGACGTCAAGCTGCCATCGGGCATCGACCTTCCCAGTCTCGGGCTGCCAAAAGGCAGCATCAAGCTTCCCGACGGGAGCTTCTCGCTGCCCGACGGCAGCGTCAAGTTTCCGGACGTCAAGCTGCCGGAGGGCATCGACCTGCCCAGCCTCGGGCTGCCAAAAGGCAGCATCAAGCTTCCCGACGGGAGCTTCTCGCTCCCCGACGGCAGCGTCAAGTTTCCGGACGTCAAGCTGCCGGGGGGAATTGACCTGCCCAGTCTGGGGCTACCGAAGGGCAGCATCAAGCTTCCCGACGGGAGCTTCTCGCTCCCCGACGGCAGCGTCAAGTTTCCGGACGTCAAGCTGCCGAAGGGCATCGACCTGCCCAGTCTGGGGCTACCGAAGGGCAGCATCAAGCTTCCCGACGGGAGCTTCTCGCTCCCCGACGGCAGCGTCAAGTTTCCGGACGTCAAGCTGCCAGAGGGAGTCAGCCTTTCAGACATCAAGATCCCCAAGGGAAGCATACAATTACCAAACGGGAGCTTTGAGCTGCCCGACGGGAGTATGAAGATGCCAGATCTGAGCAGTCTCCCCGAAGGGGTGCATATGCCGGGCGTACCACGAGGAAGCACACAGCTATCTGATGGAAGCATCAAGCTGCCGGACGGAAGCGTCGAGCTTCCGGACGGAAGCGTGCAGAAGCCCGAGGCTGCCGAGGCTGCGGCGGCTGCGGCCGCCGACGCAGTCGAGAAGGGCCTCGCGCCCGAGGTGGCGGCCACGGCGGCCGAGGCGGCATCTGCCGCGGCGGCGAAGGCGCTCGAGGAGGACGTGGCGCCCGAGGCTGCCAAGGCTGCGGCTGCTGCTGCCGCCGACGCAGTCGAGAAGGGCCTCGCGCCCGAGGAGGCGGCGAATGCGGGCGAGGCGGCGTCTGCTGCGGCGGCGAAGGCGCTCGAGGAGGACGTGGCGCCCGAGGCTGCCAAGGCTGCGGCAGCTGCTGCCGCCGACGCAGTCGAGAAGGGCCTCGCGCCCGAGGAGGCGGCCACGGCGGCCGAGGCGGCGTCTGCTGCGGCGGCGAAGGCGCTCGAGGAGGACGTGGCGCCCGAGGCTGCCGAGGCTGCGGCGGCTGCTGCCGCCGACGCAGTCGAGAAGGGCCTCGCGCCCGAGGAGGCGGCCACGGCGGCCGAGGCGGCGTCTGCTGCGGCGGCGAAGGCGCTCGAGGAGGACGTGGCGCCCGAGGCTGCCGAGGCTGCGGCGGCTGCTGCCGCCGACGCAGTCGAGAAGGGCCTCGCGCCCGAGGAGGCGGCGGCGGCGGCCGAGGCGGCGTCTGCTGCGGCGGCGAAGGCGCTCGAGGAGGACGTGGCGCCCGAGGCTGCCAAGGCTGCGGCGGCTGCGGCCGCCGACGCAGTCGAGAAGGGCCTCGCGCCCGAGGAGGCGGCCACGGCGGCCGAGGCGGCGTCTGCTGCGGCGGCGAAGGCGCTCGAGGAGGACGTGGCGCCCGAGGCTGCCGAGGCTGCGGCGGCTGCGGCCGCCGACGCAGTCGAGAAGGGCCTCGCGCCCGAGGAGGCGGCCACGGCGGCCGAGGCGGCGTCTGCTGCGGCGGCGAAGGCGCTCGAGGAGGACGTGGCGCCCGAGGCTGCCAAGGCTGCGGCGGCTGCTGCCGCCGACGCAGTCGAGAAGGGCCTCGCGCCCGAGGTGGCGGCGACGGCGGGCGAGGCGGCGTCTGCTGCGGCGGCGAAGGCGCTCGAGGAGGACGTGGCGCCCGAGGCTGCCAAGGCTGCGGCGGCTGCTGCCGCCGACGCAGTCGAGAAGGGCCTCGCGCCCGAGGTGGCGGCGACGGCGGCCGAGGCTGCGTCTGCTGCGGCGGCGAAGGCGCTCGAGGAGGACGTGGCGCCCGAGGCTGCCGAGGCTGCGGCGGCTGCTGCCGCCGACGCAGTCGAGAAGGGCCTCGCGCCCGAGGTGGCGGCAACGGCGGGCGAGGCGGCGTCTGCTGCGGCGGCGAAGGCGCTCGAGGAGGACGTGGCGCCCGAGGCTGCCAAGGCTGCGGCGGCTGCTGCCGCCGACGCAGTCGAGAAGGGCCTCGCGCCCGAGGAGGCGGCGACGGCGGCCGAGGCGGCGTCTGCTGCGGCGGCGAAGGCGCTCGAGGAGGACGTGGCGCCCGAGGCTGCCGAGGCTGCGGCGGCTGCGGCCGCCGACGCAGTCGAGAAGGGCCTCGCGCCCGAGGTGGCGGCCACGGCGGCCGAGGCGGCGTCTGCTGCGGCGGCGAAGGCGCTCGAGGACGACGTGGCGCCCGAGGCTGCCAAGGCTGCGGCAGCTGCTGCCGCCGACGCAGTCGAGAAGGGCCTCGCGCCCGAGGAGGCGGCCGTGGCGGCGCTGAAGGATGCCATCGCTGCGGCGGTCTCCAAGGCCCCGCCGCCCCGCCCCGCCTGCAGCCGTGCATCTAATGCGCCTACTCCGAGAAGGCTCCCTCTTGCCGCTGCGCAGGAGGACTACGCGGCTGCGGCGTCGCTCAAGACGGAGCTCGAGGCGGCGAAGCAAGAGGCCGCCGCCGCCGCCGCAGTGAGCCAGCTGCAGGCGGCCAAGCGGGGGGCCATCGCGGCGGCGGTGGCGAGGGAGGCGCGCTATGCCAAAACCCTCACCCCTCATCCCCTCAACGCGCCCCCCACAGCCCCCTACCACACACACACACACACAACTACCCGGACCACCCCCTCCCCCCAGGACTACGCCGCCGCCGCCACCCTGAAGAAGGAGCTCGACGCCATCCCCACCACCGCCGCCTCCGCCTCCGCCTCCGCCTCCGCCTCCGCCGAGGCTGCCGAGGCGGCGTCTGCTGCGGCGGCGAAGGCGCTCGAGGAGGACGTGGCGCCCGAGGCTGCCAAGGCTGCGGCGGCTGCTGCCGCCGACGCAGTCGAGAAGGGCCTCGCGCCCGAGGAGGCGGCCACGGCGGCCGAGGCGGCGTCTGCTGCGGCGGCGAAGGCGCTCGAGGAGGACGTGGCGCCCGAGGCTGCCGAGGCTGCGGCGGCTGCTGCCGCCGACGCAGTCGAGAAGGGCCTCGCGCCCGAGGAGGCGGCGGCGGCGGCCGAGGCGGCGTCTGCCGCGGCGGCGAAGGCGCTCGAGGAGGACGTGGCGCCCGAGGCTGCCGAGGCTGCGGCGGCTGCTGCCGCCGACGCAGTCTTGAAGGGCCTCGCGCCCGAGGAGGCCGCCGCGGCGGGCGAGGCGGCGTCTGCTGCGGCGGCGAAGGCGCTCGAGGAGGACGTGGCGCCCGAGGCTGCCAAGGCTGCGGCGGCTGCTGCCGCCGACGCAGTCGAGAAGGGCCTCGCGCCCGAGGTGGCGGCGACGGCGGCCGAGGCGGCGTCTGCTGCGGCGGCGAAGGCGCTCGAGGAGGACGTGGCGCCCGAGGCTGCCGAGGCTGCGGCGGCTGCTGCCGCCGACGCAGTCGAGAAGGGCCTCGCGCCCGAGGAGGCGGCGACGGCGGCCGAGGCGGCGTCTGCTGCGGCGGCGAAGGCGCTCGAGGAGGACGTGGCGCCCGAGGCTGCCAAGGCTGCGGCGGCTGCTGCCGCCGACGCAGTCGAGAAGGGCCTCGCGCCCGAGGTGGCCGCCACGGCGGCCGAGGCGGCGTCTGCTGCGGCGGCGAAGGCGCTCGAGGAGGACGTGGCGCCCGAGGCTGCCAAGGCTGCGGCGGCTGCTGCCGCCGACGCAGTCTTGAAGGGCCTCGCGCCCGAGGAGGCCGCCGCGGCGGGCGAGGCGGCGTCTGCTGCGGCGGCGAAGGCGCTCGAGGAGGACGTGGCGCCCGAGGCTGCCGAGGCTGCGGCGGCTGCTGCCGCCGACGCAGTGGAGAAGGGCCTCGCGCCCGAGGAGGCGGCCGCGGCGGCCGAGGCGGCGTCTGCCGCGGCGGCGAAGGCGCTTGAGGAGGACGTGGCGCCCGAGGCTGCCGAGGCTGCGGCGGCTGCTGCCGCCGACGCAGTCGAGAAGGGCCTCGCGCCCGAGGAGGCGGCGACGGCGGCCGAGGCGGCGTCTGCTGCGGCGGCGAAGGCGCTCGAGGAGGACGTGGCGCCCGAGGCTGCCGAGGCTGCGGCGGCTGCTGCCGCCGACGCAGTCGAGAAGGGCCTCGCGCCCGAGGAGGCGGCGACGGCGGGCGAGGCGGCGTCTGCTGCGGCGGCGAAGGCGCTCGAGGAGGACGTGGCGCCCGAGGCTGCCGAGGCTGCGGCGGCTGCTGCCGCCGACGCAGTCGAGAAGGGCCTCGCGCCCGAGGTGGCGGCCACGGCGGCCGAGGCGGCGTCTGCTGCGGCGGCGAAGGCGCTCGAGGAGGACGTGGCGCCCGAGGCTGCCAAGGCTGCGGCGGCTGCTGCCGCCGACGCAGTCGAGAAGGGCCTCGCGCCCGAGGAGGCGGCCACGGCGGCCGAGGCGGCGTCTGCTGCGGCGGCGAAGGCGCTCGAGGACGACGTGGCGCCCGAGGCTGCCGAGGCTGCGGCGGCTGCTGCCGCCGACGCAGTCGAGAAGGGCCTCGCGCCCGAGGAGGCGGCCACGGCGGCCGAGGCGGCGTCTGCTGCGGCGACGAAGGCTCTCGAGGAGGAGGTGGCGCCCGAGGCTGCCAAGGCTGCTGCGTCCGCCGACGCAGTCGAGGAGGGGAGTAAAGATGCTGATCTTATCAACAAAATCATCAGTGGCCTCGCGCCCGAGGAGGCGGCCACGGCGGCCGAGGCGGCGTCTGCTGCGGCGGCGAAGGCGCTCGAGGAGGACGTGGCGCCTGAGGCTGCCGAGGCTGCGGCGGCGGCTGCCGCCGACGCAGTCGAGAAGGGCCTCGCGCCTGAGGAGGCAACAGAGGCGGTCGAGGCGGCCGCTGCTGCGAAGGCGAAGGCGCTTGGGCACGACCTCACCCCTGAAGCCGTCTCGGCACTTGCGATCGCCACCGTTGGTGCGCTTGACAAGGGCCTCACCTCCGAGGAGGTAGCCAAGGCTGCTCTACTTGCGGCCGCAGCGGCTCCATCGCTCCCTCCTTGCGGGCCTGGCCTTGTCACCATCAAGGAGATGAAGGAGGTCATGAGCAAATGGACCCACAGCGAAGAAAACAAGGTCCAGGGTGAGGCGAAAATCCTGAAGCTTCTCATCAACAATCACTACGTCGCCCCTTACGAGTTCATAAGCGCGAAATGGTCCGCTGTCTCTGAGGACGGGAGGCATTACTCGGCCACCTACACCGCCAGAGCGTCGTGCAAGACGCCCGAGTGTCTAGCGGCAAACCCCACATGGAAGGAGAAGATTGTAGTCCCGCTTGGCGAGGCCGAGTTTGATGTCTGTGTAGAAGATGCGGCGACTAAGGCTGCCAAGGCGGCAGCTGCCGAACGGTCGCTTCCCGTTCAGCCATGTGAGGACACTTTGACCACTGGCGGATGCGGGAGATCTGCTCTCACGTACAACTTCAATGGGGTGGACTACACCACGTGCGAGGGCTTTGGAGTCGACTTGAAAAAGGCGCTGGAGCCCTTCGGGGATCGAGGAGTGCCATACGACCAATGCTCGAACGACACGCCCTTCGGGAAAAGCGTCCAAAGGTGCTGCAGAGCATCGTGTGGGCTTTGCATACCCGGGCTCAATCTCCTCGACGCGCAAACCGCTGCCCTCTCCTCTTTGCTATCATCGCCCTCGCCGTCCCCCTCGGCACCGGCACCAGCATCGGCATCATCGCCTTCCGACCTGTTGGTCGGCGAGACGACTGGTGGAGAGGCCGTTGGCACCGCCTGCGACGCGTGCGAGACGATCGTGGACTATTTGGAGCAGGCCGGCTTTCCTGCCGCCGCCGCGACAGTCTGGGAGCTCAACGCGGAGGACTGCGAGGCCTCTTGGGATGTGGACGACCCCGACGCCTGGCAGCCTCCGTCGAGCCTTGATGAGGCGACCGCTGCGTGCGGAGAGGCGATTCGAGAGCTTGATTCTGGCGAGGCCGGGGAGCTGGGCGTCTACTCTGGCTACTTCTACTACGCTAAGTCGAACCCGGAGTAGAGGCGCCGCAGGGCCTGCAGTCCGCGTTTCGACGCGGCGCGGGGACGATGCCCTGTCCCGGGCCGATCAGGGCCGGGAAGCGGCCGGGCGCCTGATCGGGACCGATATCCGAACGCGTCACATACGGCTCTATTCGGCACAAGAGTCGCACTGTCACACACACTTCACGCACACCTAATTTAATATATACACACACGAGTATGTACAGAACGCGTGTATCACGCGCGCGCGGCGGCACCGGCATGAGATGTCTGCAGAGTCCAGAGTGGCAGAGATTTTTTGGAGGGCGGATGATCGATAAAAATCGAGGCTCCAGACACCCGACATATCGACTCAAGAGACAGTGAAGAGAGGCACACAGCGACATATCGACTCAAGAGACAGTGAAGGCGCGAATCTGGCGCCGCCACAAATCTCTGGATGTGGGTCCTCACCGCCACTCAGGCGCCACGTACGCAAACCGCTCCACCGAGAGGGCCTTCGCCACCTCGGCCGCCTCCGCCGTCCTGCGCTCGCTCTCCTCCCAGCGGGCGCGCGCCTCCTCCTCCCGCCGCGCCGCCTCCTCGGCCTCCGCCCGCGCCTCGTCGCTGCGCCGCGCAGCCTCGGCTCGCCGCTCCGCCTCCGCCGCCTCCTCGACGGCGCGGCTCGCCTCGGCCGCCTCGGCCGCCTCGGCCGCCAGCGCCTCGACCTCGGCCTGCAGTGAAGGAAGCGCAGCCAGCTTGGCCCGCTGCGCCTCGTTGAGCTGCTCGGCAGACTGCAGCTCGGTGGCCTGCCGCAGCTTCTTCAGCGCGCCGCGGTGCTTACGCTGCAGCGCCTCCGCGGCGCCGCTCGCGGACGCGACGCGCTGCGAGCGCGCCTCCTCCGCAGCCCTGTCCCTCGCCTCCCTCCGCGCCGCCGCGCTCGCCCGCCCCTCCGCCTCCGCTCGCTCTCGCAAAACGCTCTCTTGCATCTCCAGCGCAGCCGCCGCGGCCGCCGCCGACGCCGCGGCCGCGGCCGGCTGCGGCGGGGCTGCGGCAGAGGCGGTCTCGAGCATCGCCGTCTGCGAGGTGTGCCTTCGGTCGAAGTAGCGCAGGTCGACGTCGCTCGCAAGGGTTGGGACGTGCGGGCGCGGCGCCGCCCCAGAGAGCAGCGCCGACGCGTCGAGGCGCCGGAAGAAGGGCGTTTGCAGCACCTCGGAAGCGCCGCCCCGGTGGCCGAGCCTCGCCTCCGCCTTCTTGTGCAGCAAACGCCGCACCACAGCGACCGCCTCGCACGACACGCAAGCAGCTGCGTCGCCTCCGCCCCCGCCGGCTCCGCCCGCTCCTCCGCTGCCTCCTCCGCTGCCTCCTCCGCCGCCGCTGCCTCCGTCGCTGCCTCCCCCGCCGCCGCCGCCCCCTCCTCCCCCGCCGCCGCCCCCGCCGCCCCCGCCGTTGTTGTCCCCCTCGAGCTCCGCCTCGGCGGCGATGGCTTCCCGCGGAAAGCGGACGCGCCCGTTCGTGATGGCAAGCCGCAGCGACCGCTCGTCGGAGGCGTGCTCGGCAAAGGGGCCGTACCCGACGATCAGCTCGTACAGGAGGATGCCCAGCGCCCACCAGTCGCACGCGGCGCCGACGGGGCGGCCGAGGATGCCTTCGGGCGGGGTGTAGACACGAGTGCCTCCCGGCCGACGCACGGTCTGCCCGCCCGCGACGTCGATGCCGCAGCGCGCAAAGCCAAAGTCGACGAGGACGGCGTCGCCCTCTGCTGAGAGGAGCACGTTCTCCAGCTTGAGGTCGAGGTAGAGCACGCCGCGCCGGTGCAGCTCGCCGAGGGCGAGCGCGACCTAAGGTGAGGTAAGGCGAGGTGCACTTCTCCACACACACGAGGTGGTGGGGCAAGGGCCAGGCGACCCTCTGTCTGTCTGTCTGTCTGTCTGTCTGTCTGTCTGTCTGTCTGTCTGTCTGTCTGTCTGTCTGTCTGTCTGTCTGTCTGTCTGTCTGTCTGTCTGTCTCTCTCTCTCTCTCTCTCTCTCTCTCTCTCTCTCTCTCTCTGTGTGTGTGTGTGTGTGTGTGTGTGTGTGTGTGTCTGTGTCTCTCGCGACCTGCGCTGCGTAGAACCGTGCGGCTACCTCACTGAGGCAGCGGCCCGTTTGCGCCGCGAGAAGGCGCGCGAGGGTGCCGCCTTCAGAGGGGGGCGGAGGCGGCGAGAGGGCGTGGCGAGGTGGGGTGGGTGCGGGGGGGCGAAAATGGGAGGGGCGCGGAGAACGGAGGCGCGGGACGGGGAGGGGGTGACTGCGGCCAAGAGAGTGCGCTCGCGGCGTTTCTGAGAGGCGCCCTGCAGCAGCGGCATCACAAAGTGGAGATGGTGCGCCGAGCGGAAGCAGCAGCGCGCCGCCGCGAGAAGCGGGTGGGGCTCCTCCGCGGCCGACACCAGCACCGCCCGCTCGGCTAGCAGCTGCGGTGCCTGTTCACAGCTGCAGGTGTGAACAGACGCTGTTCACAGCACCGCCCGCTCGGCTAGCAGCTGCGGTGCCATGCTTGCGGACAGCGCCTCCGATAGCAGCACGACCTTCATCGCGCACGCCGCGCCGTCGCCGCGCCAGCGGACGAGGTGCACGCGGCCGAACCCGCCCTCGCCGAGCTTACAGACCGGCACGAACGCGTCGGGCGAGCAGGCGCGCCGGTCGCCTGTGATTTCCCCGGCCGGCGGCTCCCGAGGTAGCACGGCCCCGGAAACTTCCGCCGCCGCGTCGCCGGCGCCGCTCCGCCGGAGCTTCTTCGCCTGCTTCCGCTGCTTCCGAAACGCCTCTCGCTCTGCTGCGAGCCGGGCCTCCTCCTCCTCTGCCTCCGCCTGTGCCTGTGCCTCAAGCTCGAGCGAGGCAATCCGTTGGGCGAGCGCCGCGGCGAGCTCCGCCTCGCCGCCATCCGTCACGTCGCCGCCGCCGCAGCTTGCGCCGCCACCACTGTCGCAGCCTTTATCGCCGCCACCACCGCCGCCACCACCGCCGCCACCACCGCCGCCACCACCATCGCCCGCTACGCCTTCAACCTCAGGCTCCTCGTCCCCCGCCACACTGACTGGCAGCAGCGGCGGCCTGTCGGCGGGAGCTCCCTCTGTGGGCCCACTCGCAGCCCGGCGGCGCCCTCGCCCGCGGCCACGCCCTCGGCCGTGCGCTCCGCCTTTGCCGGAGCCGCCGGCGGCTAGCAGCCTCGCCAGATCCTGCCCGGAGGGCGGCACGGGCGGTCGGGTACGGTCACTGCTCACGGTTGGTGGAGGAGGCGGGGGTGGCCGGCGAGGCGGAGGCGACGTCCGTAGGTTACGCTGCTGCACGGCGCTGCCCTTCTCGCGCTGTGAGCCGCGGCGGCGTTGCCCCGAATTGCTTTTGCCGTTCATTGGACTCGGCCGGCTCCAGGGTCCACGCCGTGATTTTTTTTGCAGAATTCTTTTCCCGACATGCCCAGGCCGCCTTCCGCGAGCGGGCGGCGGCAGATTTCGCGCATGTCGTCGACAATGAGGCGGCGCGAGTCGGCGGTGCGGCCGGTAAACAGGTCGCACATGTCAGAGCTGCGGTGTTTCATGAGGACCCGGTTGGCGAGGCGGCGGATGGCTGCAGGGATGCCGATGGGGCGGGTGCCGGTGACGTTGCCCATGTCGTCTCGCTTCTCGATCCCGAGCAGCTGGAGGTCGCCCCAGAGCGCGGCGGCGCTGTCGTGCACCCTGCCCTGGTTGATGGCGGCCACGATGTCGAACAGGATCTCCCTCACGTCCGGGCCCGAGTAGTGCAGGAACTCGAGCTCCTCGTAGCTGACGCCGTCCACGGACATGGCGCGCGCCTTGGGGACGGAGTGGAAGACCTCCCAGAAGGCCTTCCTGTACTCGGCGGAGTTGGTCGCGTAGCGCTTCACGCCGCCGAGGGGCTCAGGTACCAGCGCGCGCGCAAGCAGGCGCGCCTGCCCGTCAAGATGGGCGGCATGGGCCTCACCAGCGCCGTCGACATTCGCGAGCCGGCGTGGATTGGCACGTGGGCGCTCGTCGCTGGGCCCATGCGCCAGCTGCATGCTCCTTTCCGCGACCTTGACGTGAGCAAAGCGCCGGGCTCCGATTTCGACGAGCTGCGGGCGGCGCATGACAGGCTAGTAGAACAGAAGCTGAGCGAAAATAAGCGAATAATTCATGCCATTCAAGGAAGGTTGAATGAAACGACTTTGCGGTGCGTGATCGCAAAGTCCGCCGACGGAACCCCCAGCTCTTCGCTCAAACTCACAACACTCAGAATGCCGCTCATCCAGGTCGCTGAGACCGAGCGCCCCTACCTGAAGCTCCTTGCGGCGGCTATGGCATCGCTTCTGGCACTGTCGTGGGGCTCATCGCTTTGGGGAAGTCGAAGGAGGCACCAAGCGCCATCAAGACGGTGTTGCGCCGCCCCTCCCTTTGCCGGCCCCTGCAGCCGCGCCATCATTGGCTCACGCTTCGATGCTCATGCAGCACAGCACTCTAGCAAGCCGCTGCTCTGGACCTGTGCGTCTGAGCGTGTGACCTGCGATAGGATGCTCTGCCGCACGAGAAGTTCTGGTTTGTTGATTCGCTCTTTGGTGGGGTCTCGCGGGGCCTCCCTAGCTTTGACGACTTCAAGAACTCGCTCTGCTCCGACTGTGAGAATCACAAGGAGTGCGTCTCAGGGGAGGAGCTCGACGATGCGACGAAGAAAACGTGCGAAACCTGTGAGGACCCGCGATGGGGGTGCAAGGCCTCGAAGGCGCGGGGCTTCCTTGACAATCTTCCTTCCGCCGAAGAGATTTTGGGCAAGCTCTGCGCCGACTGTAAGACAGAGTGCGTCAAAGACAACCTCGACAAGGCCACTAAGACGATCTGCGACTCGTGCTCGAAGAATTGCTACTAGGCAAGTCCTCTCGCTAGGCAAGTCCTCTCGCTCGGGTCGTTCAGCGTTTCGTCTCAGGGACCTGGAGTGGCCGTGTTGAGACCTACCTACTCGAGAGCCGAATCGGAGAGGCTACCCAACGCCCCCCCCCCCCCCCCCCCGGCGCGCGAGCTGTGTGTGTCACGTGTTGTCTTGGGTCGTTCGTATCCATGAACAGCAAGACCGCGCGCGCGCCTCCGGGGTGCAGTCCGGCCGCGTCTCCCAGGAGAGCCGCGGCTCGCAGCAGCGCTACTCCCTCGATCAACCTAGCGGCCGAGGCAGCATGGAGAGCGCCGGCTCGCGCTCGTCCGTCCCGACCGTCCCGATCGGCGCGGCGGCGGCCGCCGCCGCCTTTGCCCAGAAGGTTGCCCGCGCGAAGGCTCTGGCGGCATCCGCGCCCGAGTCGTCCGTTCCCGGCACCGCTCGCGTCTCCATCCCCATCGATCAAGTGATGGCGAAGGGGTTTGCGCCGCCGCCGCCGGGCCCGCCGCCCGGCCCGCCGCCTCCGCCCGCTCCCGACGGCGGGGCGCCTGAGAAGCCGGATGAGGAGGGGGCGCCGAAACCCCCCGAGCGCGACGAGTCGGAGATGGGGATATGACGAGGGGCCGCCTGGGCGAGGGGCCAAAAGACACTTCCGAGTCGCGTACCCGCGTCGTCACTGGTTAGAGACCGGGCGCGCTTTGAACCGTAGTTTTTATTCCTCTTGTCGTTAATTCATTTTTCTTTGGTGTATACCTGTTTGAGTGCCAGTGACCTTGCTCGCCAGTCACAGGTTAGGTTAGGTTAGGTAGGAAGGTGAAGAACAGCCAGGCTGCTCGGACCACTGGACACCAACGCTATGGGTGGACGCTAGACAGATGATGACGACACGCATGAGCGACACACAGACACAAACAGGCTCACAAGACACACAGCCAGCTGGCTGCCACACACCCTGAGTTGGCGTACACATAACTCCGGTCCACGTCCTCCCTGAAAACGTTCGAAAAGAAAACCAAGCGCTCCCGTGGACATCGTCCGCTGCTAAGACCTGGCTGGCTGCGCCCTCCACGAGCAGAACAACTCTCTGGGTGCGCGCCTTACGCCCGCCCCCCCTGGCGCGAGGGCGGCGTCATGCCGACGCCCCAGCTGGTGGTTGCCTCGCGCTGCGCCAGCTCCGTCCCGCCGTGGCACGGTCGCGGAGAGCCAGCTGGCGCCTCGTTTCGCAAGCCTGGGCGGCGGCGGGCGCAGTGGCCGTGGGTCGGGCGACGGGTCGTACAGCCGTTTGTGTGCGGCCGCGTCTCCCTAGACCGACAGCGATCCCTGTGGAGGTTGACGCTTCTCAATCACCACAGCGTGTCCGCTCCCCGCGCCCGCAGATCCCCATGGTTGCCAAGGCCAAGAAGGTTGCTTATTTCGCGCATCTCGAGGAGGCGCTCAACTCGTACGCGCGGGCGTGCATCGTCGACTTTGACTTCGTCGGCTCGAAGCAGGTCAGCGACATTCGCGTCGCCCTGCGCGGCAAGGCTGAGCTGATCCACGGCAAGAACACGATGATCCGCAAGTGCATCCGTGACATGGTTGCGCGCGAGGAGGAGCCGCGCGAGGACTGGGAGTCGATCGTCAACGTCATGCGCGGCAACCTCGGCTTCATCTTCACCAACGGCGACATCAACGAGGTGATCGAGGTCCTCGAGGAGTACGTCAAGCCTGCGGCGGCCAAGGCGTGCCCCCCCCCGCCCCCACACACACATGCCCCCCCCCCCCCCCGCCCCTCCCCCGCCGCCGCCGCCGCCGCCGCCGCCGCCGCCGCCCCGCCCCGCCCGATCATCGCCGCCGCCCGACGTCTTAGGCGGGCGTCATCGCCCCCGCCAGCTGCACGATCCCGAAAGGGCCGACGGGGCTCGACCCCGCGCAGACCAGCTTTTTCCAGGCGCTCAACATCGCCACCAAGATCAACAAGGGCTCCATCGAGATCATCAACGACTGCGAGGTGATCAAGGTTGGCAACAAGGTTGGTACCTCGGAGGCCGCGCTGCTGACAAAGCTCGGCGTCAAGGTATCTCCCCACACATCTCCCCACACATCTCCCCCCATCTCCCCACACATCTCCCCACACATCTCCCCCCCATCTCCCCCCATCTCCCCATGCCGACGGCGACCGCCTTGTCCCTCCTACGGACAGCCGTTCGAGTACGGCTTGCGCCTCGTCTACATTTACGAGGGCGGCATCTTCTCGCCCGACGTGCTCAAGATCACCGACGCCGACCTCGCGGCCAAGTTTGCCGAGGGCGTCGGCTTCGTCGCCGCCCTCTCTCTCGGCGTGGGCATCCTGACGGAGGCGTCGCTCTCGTCGGTCATCCTCGGCGGCTTCAAGAACGTGTGCGCGCTCGCGCTCGAGGCCGACTTCATCGAGTTCCCGCAGGTCGAGAAGATCAAAGAATTTGTCGACGACCCGGAGGCGTGGTGCGCCAAGTACGGCGGCGGTGGCGGCGGCGGCGGCGGCGGCGGCGGCGGCGGCGGCGGCGGCGGCGGCGGCGCGCCGGCGCCTGCGGCGGCTAAGGCGCCGGAGCCGGAGCCCGAAGAGGAGGAGGAGGAGATGGGTTTCGACCTGTTCGACTAGAGCTGGCCGCGCGACAGGGGCAAATGAGACGGTTACGTGGAGGGTTTGGCAAGGTCCGAGTTTGGCGTCGCTCCCCGCGCATGTGTCTCGGCACCGCATATGTCTTGATTAATTACGTGTACCAAAAAGCCTTCCATTGGTGAGATTGGAGACCGGCCCCACCGCGGCGGTGCTGCCACCGCGCACCATACATGGAAATCTCTGCGCAACATCGGAAGATCCTTGGACTGTAGATCGTAGATGCCTTTTAGAGATCTCTTAAGTGGCAAATCTCCTGCCAAGAGCAGCAGTAGATTGAAGAACTGGTGGAGGCAAATCTTCTCCGGTGTAGATGCTCGAGAGGAGTCTGAGATCTCGAGTTTGGTGCGTGCAGTCGCTTGAGATCTTGCGACAGAGGTGGAGATTCTGAATTCGCGCCAAAGGCGCCTAGAGATCGTGTGGGCCGACTGGAGATTGCAAAATGGCGCGAAAAGAGGGTGGAGATCCTTTTGCATTGTGAATGAGTCCATAGCGCATCTCCTTGAAGGTTTGAGCCCCCCTCCGGATCCCCCGGGCCCCCGAATCGAGATTGGAGATTGGAGATTGGAGATTGAGATCGGAGATCTGACTGAATCCGGCCTAAGATGACGACGTTGGAGATTGGAGATTGAAGATGGAGATCGGAGATCTGACTGGATCCGGCCTAAGATGTAGCGACGCTGGAGATTGGAGAGTACTGGAGAGATGGAGATCGGAGCCCCCCAGCCCCTAGTGGTGTCTCATCGTTTTTTTCGTTTTGTTTTTAGATAAAGGTCTGTGCGCGGACGGCCCGGGGAGCCTGCGCGAAGCGCGCTGCGCGGCGCGCGCGGTCTACGCCGAACTGGGGGCGGTATCATGGTTCACGCTGCCAACTCGGCAAATAGGCTCGCCGACATAGACCGCGTACATAGACCGCGCGCGCAGCGCGCTCCGTTTGCAGACCGCCCTGGCGGACTCGTTTACACTTCCAAGCTCAAGCCAGGCGCCGCAGGCCATAAAGAGGAGCGCAGATTAAAATGGCGCCGCAGGCTCCCCGGG